CCCAACTTTGATGTCACCACTTGCAGACTTGGGTTTTTTCAGTATGTTAAAAGGTCGGGAGCTGTTCTCTTAATGGCCGGGGAGCAGAAGGAGCTTGGGGAAGCATTTGTACAAGACCAAACAAAAAGAAAAAGGAAAGTCCTAAATGTTTCTGGAAAACACTTGGAGAAAAATCACGTACTGCCTAACCAACCTGCTTGGTAAGGGTGTCATGGATAAGTTTGAAATACTTAAAAAAAATCAAGAATGTGATTTCTCCCTCCCCCCCCTCCGGTGGATTTTTTTGCCCTGTGAAAGGGTTTTTTTTTTTAAGTTCAAAATGTTGTATATGAAAGAGCCAAATTTAATATGAGGTGCCAGGAGCCAGCAGGATCTTTTATTATGGCAGTTCGCGCTGCGGCTGAGCATGGCAACGATGGGATTTTGGAAGGAGGAGGAGGAGGCAGGACTGTTGCATGGATAACAAAGTGTCCGAGCGACGACCGAAAACCCGAGCCAACAAAGACAAGTGCAGAAGAGAGGCACCTGCTACTTCACCATCCTCCAGTCGTGAGGGCGAGCCACGTCCCCTTCTTTGAGGCACAATCGCTGCCGGGGCTGGCTGGAGGGCAGGTCCGAGCCATCCCGACAGCTCCTAGAGGTGGATGTTCAGAGGATGCTCTTCCCCAGCTCGCAGCTGCTTCTGCCAGTGACGGATGTTTGAAGCCCGCTTGGAAAGTTTGCTTGGCTGCTAGGAAATGCAGGCGTAGGGAGACCTGTATCGTTAGGAATCCACGCGGGCAAGGAACTGCATGTGCCACGGGCTCGGTGCAGCTCCCGGACTTCGCTTTGTGCAGAGTAGCTGGGGGGGACCACGACGTTGCAGGAGGAGCCACTGCCAGGCTCCAAACACACCCAGCACCGACAACCCTCTGTCCCTCCGCTCCCTGCACACACAGCGAGGAGGCCTGGGAGGCGAGGAGGGTGGCGGGGAGGCCAGGTTGGCAGCTCTGATAAAGCCAATGCTGCTGTTTTCTGTCATGCATTAAAAAAACCTGTCCTGGGCTGCGTGGGATGAAGCAAAGCCAAGCAGACAGGACAGAGTGTCCTTCGTTAGACCCCTTTCTGTGGGTGAAGCGCTGCCACTTTGAAAGCTGTAATTGCCTGGGAGAGCTGTGTGATGTGAGTTGTCCGCAGGGAGGATGTGGAGGGAGCTGGGAGGGGTTGCTCGACCTGTCTGCAAGGATGGGGAGGCCTGTTTGGAGATGCTGTCACCGCTCAGCCTAGTCTCCGCACAACTCAGCCTGGTTTGAATCTGCAAGCCAGACCCTTCTCCCAGGTGGCATCACAAACACCCCAGGCTCTCGTGGAAAGGAGACGCCGTGTAGGTGGTGCAACGCGCCTGGCTCTCCAACCCCGGGAGGTCTCTATCCAGCACAAAGATGACACAGCGGGGGCTTGTCCTGCCCCAAACCCACAGCCCAGACGGCAGCAAACAATTCCACCTGCGGGGAACAGCCCCGCTCAGAGGACGACAGACTATAGGGAACGGCCCTGGAAGGAGACGACACTTTGTGGGCTCCATGCACCAAACGTGGCTTTGGTGATTGCTGTCCGGGGAATTAGCTCAGCGTGCCTGGGCTTTCTGCTAGCCTGAGCTGAGCCCAGCCAGCCCTGATTTGGGGGCAGCAGTCAGCAAGATCGGGCAGGTGGGAGGCTGTACGCCAAGCCACTGCAGGGGCGAGATGCTGCAGGTGCATCGTTTCTTCTCAGCACCTTCGATGCTGGTGCTGAAATCACGGCTGCCCTCCCAGAGCCCCTGTTCAGCACGGAGCAGTAAACTCCCTTCCCTAACAGCTGGACTCTCTCCTAGCCACAAGAGGAAGAGAAAGCCCCCCAGCTGGTCCAAGCGCTCTCCGTGCCCAGCTCCTGCGCACTACCCCGTGCTCCTGTCCCATGCACCCCACATGCAAGCACGCGGCCTCCGAGCCGGTGGCCGGCGGAACAGCTGGAGGGGTCCCTGGAGCTCACCCGCTGCCGCCTGGAGTCAAAGCAGCTGCAGGTGGGGAGCTGAGAGGTAGGCACCTTCGCAGAGCCTGACAGGGCCCCCGGCTAGTGCCTCCTGCTTTGCAAAACTGTTGGGTGCCCTCAGCTTGCAAGCAGGAGACAGGGATCTGAGACACCCTGTGGGCTCTAATAACACCTGCCCTGTTTCTTTTGCAGTCCTGGGGAAAGTGGAGCAGGCCATGGCTAGTGGCCTTTCCCACCACTGGGGCTGGGGAAGTTATCAGAAGCAGAGCAATCAGTGCTTCCCAACCCTTCCCAACCCAAGGCAACTCACATAATCCTCAGGGCATCCCTTGGAAAATGCCGGCTCTCAGCTCTCGCTCGTTCTTTGACTCTGGAAAAATACTAGAGCAGTTCTGTTGCAGAGAGCTCGGCAAGACCCCAGAGCATCCCTAGCAGCCTGGATTTCTAGTGGAAATCTCCGGGTTTATCCTGCGAGTCGGGGTTTCACAACGAACAGTGCTAACGTGTGCCACCCCGCAGCCCCCTGGAAAGGACCTCAGGGCAGCCCAGGTTGGCGCAACCCCCGGTTGAGTGTCACTGAAATAGATAAACCAAAATGATGAGCCCATTTAAAAGGCAAGAAGCAGCCATGAGCTGCAAGGCTATTGTCTGTGTGTAGTCTGTGCTTTTTAGTGTCGAGTAAAGTTACGAATTTTTGTTCCTGCTCCCATCTTGTGAAGATACCGTGTGCATTTTCCTGGCCTGCGAGGGTTATATGTTTCTCCTGTTCGTTCATCTCTAGCCGCTTCTCTTTGCTGCCTAGCTGTGCCGCCCTCTTCCCTCTCGGTAAGAAGCAGCGGGCTCAGTGCTGCACACACCAGATTTTGGAAAGGCGTCTGCTTTCCTCAAAGTCTTTTGTTGTCAGAAAATCAAGACCCTGAAAGGCTGCGCCTGGGCAGGGGCCAACCAAAAAAATCCAGTTTCTATTACAAAGCCCCTTCCCTCCGCTAGTCTGAGTGTCTTGATTGAGAAGTTCATGCTCCTTCCGCTTAGGTTCCTGGGTCTCCAAACCCCCTCTCCTTCCCTGGCTCCCTAAGCACTCGGCTTCATTTCTGACCGAACTCGCAGCACATTTTCATTACAGATATGTCACAGGGAGTGTTAATCTGTTGAGAGAGGTGACAGCTGAGTAGTTCGCAGTGTTATTGAGGAGCAACAACAGCACCATATTTCAAGTCGCAGCAAGGTATTTTTTTAACCTCCGTTTTAGATCGACATGCATGGTTAAACCAGTCTGAAATTCAGGGACCGTAGCAGTTTGGGGTGAGGCATGGGCTCCTTCGATCAAATACCTCTTGAGATCGAGGCCCTTTCACCCTGCCCCCAAAATTGGGGTGGGAGGTCCCTTATAATGCTAGGGACAAAGCAGAGGAGCATCCGCAAGGGTCTCATGAGACTGAATTAACCTGCTGGGATTCAGTGCCCAGCCCCAAGACCTGAAAATAAAACTCTTGCTAGGGTTGGGGAAGCAGGCGCAGCACCCAACAGATCCAGCTCTTTTACCCACAAAAGTCTTGATATTTAGAGAAGTTGTCTCAGTCGGGCAATTAAAGTCTTCTTTTCTACTGATTACTGTTCATGGTTCTATTAGTATCTCGAGCTCTCATTACTAGAGCAGGGAAAAGCTTTTAATTTATTCCAGTGATGAGATCAGACCAAAACGGTTTGCGAATTCTTGCTGAGCACGGCGATTACTTCCAGCCAAAAAAGGGAAGCAAAGAAGAAAAAAAAATCTAAAAAGTCAGTTGTTTTGACATTTTCAAAATGCTACTTTCTGTCTTTATAAGCAGTGTTCCAAGACCAGCTTTTCCTAATGGTAATTAAGAAAAACTTTTGGTAAATAAAAATAAAGATAAAAACAACACTGAAAATAAATGCAATGCTTTGTTCAGAATAAGTGATGTTGCAGCCATGATGGTCCAGGAAATACGGGAGAGGCAGTGATTTTTGCAGGAGAGATGTTAGACTACATTTTCGGGCACTACAGACTTGGAGCACGCCTAATCTGTGACCTTCTCAAGCTATTTCTTTGATCCTTGTGGTACAGGCTGGTTTCCTGGTAGTGGGAGATATTCCATATAAATCTACTGGTTTCAACGAGCCTTTCTGGTAAAGCAAATTTGGATGTACGTGTACTATGTTTCAGTATAAAAAGTACCCGCTGTCCTTTAGACTACATGGATTGTGTCATAAATTAACAGAAAAAGTCAGGAATAAGTGTCCAGAGCAAGGCAAAAGGACTTCTACAGCCCAGCTTTGGGGGCCAGCTTTGGCTTTTGGGGTCCTCCCGGCTCTTGGTGCGTTTTGCTGGGTGAGACACTTTGCGGTGGAGTCTGTGGCCTTTTCCACTGCATTTGCGATTTGCCATTTTTTGCAGCTTGATTGAACTGTGACTGGCAGCCCATCACACACATGTAGCAGGTTGTGTATTTCTGATGGGCTTTGCCACCAGTGTCAGGAGGGCTGGAAGAGGCTGCACAGCTGCCACTGCTTATACAGCCCCTCTCCGTGCTGTGGAAGGCGTGTTGTGGCTAAAGGATGTTCAGGTCCAAGTCCTGGCTGGGCCAGACTTTTATCTGCTGCCACCGGACGTGGCTGCTGTTTCCAGGCATTGACAGTAGGATGTTGGGCAAAAACAAGTGATGCAGTCATGAAAGAAAAGTCCCTTTAGAGCTCCTCTGGGTCTATCTGCGCGTGCCCACCGTCAGAGGGAAGAGCAGGGCCAGACTCCAAGTGGGTTGCAAACCAGTTACTCCTCCTCCAGTGCATCTCAAATTGTTGGGTTTGGGGTTTGGACATTGCAAAGCTCCTGTTTTTGTTTCCTGGGTTATCTGCTGGGACTCAGGAAACCCCTTCCCCCTCCACGCTGGCCACACGGCACCTTTCAACCTGGGCCTCAGAGGAGCGGGGGGACTTTCCTCTCACTGAATGCTGTTCTTGCTTCTTTGCAGGCTGCCCATCAGGGACTTTCAAGGCAAGCCAAGGGGATGAAGGATGTGTCCACTGCCCAATTAACAGCCGGACGACTTCAGAAGGGGCCACTAATTGTGTGTGCCGAAACGGCTATTACCGTGCAGACTCCGACCCTCTCGACATGCCTTGCACCAGTAAGTGACCTCCAGGCTAGGGGTGGCATGAGATGGTACCGACATAGAAAAGAGGGATATAAGTAATATAAACTACCAGGTGGTGTCTAATGAACCATTGCAGCTCAGAGCTGCCCATGTTCCCAAGTGACTCCCTTCTGATACCCGCCAGCTGCTGTCTAAAGGCCACTGGAGGGCTGAGCAACTATCCGCAGTGTCCAGCCTTACTTGGCATCCAGGCTGAGCAGGAGGTCTACTAGCAAAGGTGTCCGAAACACACTTTGCACACAGGAACTTAGGCTCCTGCACTCTGATTTTGGCACCAAAATAACTTTCCTCTAGGGAGTAAATCTGAGCTGTAGGCACCCAGAGAATTAAAACTGGTGCGCAGCACAAACAGGAACAACCACAGCTCTTCAAAAGGCTTGTAGAAAGAACCCCAAAAAGAATCGGCCTGGGTTTGAGGGCTTGGTGTAAGGGAGACCTGTGCTCTATTCCCGGCTAAGCAGTTAACTTGGCCTTTTCACTCTGTTGAGACTGTAAACTCTCTAGGGCAAGGTCCTGCTATATGTGTGAGCAGCACCCAGCCAAACAGGGCCTCTATTCATATCCGGTTGGAAATGAAGGGTCTGGAAGCTGTTTCTCTTAGATGTAGCTGCTATTCATCCCCCCACGTCCCTGTGGAAGAGCAGGATACCCCAGGGCAGCCTCACCTGGACTATGAGGCAGAGGAATAGGAAGGTGCATGTGGGATGGAGCAGGGCATGGACTCACACAGCCTCTCTCTCTCTCTTGCCCAACACAGCCATCCCGTCTGCCCCCCAGGCTGTGATCTCCAGCGTAAACGAGACATCGCTGATGCTGGAATGGACTCCGCCTCGGGACTCGGGGGGCCGCGAGGACCTGGTCTACAACATCATCTGCAAGAGCTGTGGTTCGGGGCGCGGAGCCTGCACCCGCTGTGGAGACAACGTCCAGTTCACCCCGCGCCAGCTGGGCCTCACGGAGCCCCGCATTTACATCAGTGACCTGCTGGCCCACACCCAGTACACCTTTGAGATCCAAGCGGTGAATGGGGTCACCGACCAGAGCCCCTTCTCCCCACAGTTTGCCTCGGTGAACATCACCACCAACCAAGCTGGTAAGGAATTGCTGTGTCCTCTGCTGAGCCAGACTGAGACCCGGGAGAGAATGGGGGTAGGAGCGACTCACCTTTTAGGCACTGTAGTGACCAAAAATCCTATCCACCTAATGGGCATTCAGTAACCTGGATGTTCCTAGGCCATATCCCAAAACATGTCTTGTTTTCCAACAAGTCTATGTCAGCAGAGACTGTGCGGTCCAGAGGTCCACCTGAAAAGAGCTTTGGGGCTGCTATCTCAGCATGAATTTCCTGGCATGTCTTACCTGCAGAAGCCCAACAGGATTATTTCTGCGGGTACTTTTACGCTGCTGCGTCATGGCAGCGTAGTTAAGCATACCTGCACAACCTTCAGTCTGGGTATCAGGAAACAGTAGCAGTGAAGACACGGCCAGATGGGCTTTGGCACAGGCTAGTGACTTCCAAATGCACCTTAGGTACACAGTGCTGTGTGCAGCTCACACTAAAGCCCCTGCAACCCCTTCTTCGCGGCTACTGATAGCTGTGCTCGGTACGTTCAAGTGAGTGCAAATATATCCCTGCATGCTGCAATTCTGGAGTGCAGCTTTGATATAACTAGTGCCTCGGTTTCCAGAACTGGATGACCAGAGGCAGAGGAAGTTGTCACAGAAGGACGGGTGCAGAGAGTAGAGACAGATGACAGGCAGGAATTCTCTGCACAGCTGTTCCAGGACGGCTTTCCCTGCCCTGCCCAAGGGCTCCTATTATATGCTAAAGGAAAGCAAGCAGCAGCCTGCCCTGCAGCAAGGAGCTGCTGCTTGGCAGCTTTCTGAAGGCAGTGACCTCCTCGTTGAAGGCGTGTGGTTACATCTCTTCTCATTCCACAGAAGAAGGTCTACTTGGGGATGGGGAGGTGTAAAGGCCACTTGTACCATCTTCAGGCTCTGGGTTAATGCCCCGGAGGATTTGTAGGCTGCCAGCGGGATCTCTGAGGTCTGGCAGGGTGCACTTTGCAGCCCTGAGAGAGTGGTGGCACCATGCCAGTGAGACTTGCTAATTAAGAGAGCATCTCCCAGGGCAGCTCTGCCTGCTTTGCTTTGCTTTGCTGGGAGAAAGACCTGCAAGCAGCCAGGATGGAAAAGGGTGTTTGGATGAGTCTGTGGGCTGAACCAGCTCCTTACTGAACTGGTCAGCAGGCAGGTGTGGACCTGTCGACGAGCCTGCATGAACATGGAGGCGCTGGGCATGCTGCATGTCAACGTAGGTATATGAATGTGTGTGTGTAATGTGAGCAACACAGATGTGTGTGCAAGTGAGAGAGAGAGACGTGAGTGGAGGTCGTGTGATTACGTGCGACTGTCTGGAGTGGCTGAGTACGGCCTGTGCGGGTGTCGTGTGTATACTTCTGTTGTTGGCCAAGAGCAAGTCAAGAGATGGCTCTCTGTTTCCTTGGGAGTTGCTGCTCCAGTGTTTATAAGCTGCCTAATGCTCTGATTTCACACCCTGCAATTAAGCAATGTGGTCGTGATGTTAATGAACCAACTGTGAATATTCCCACTTCTGCAGCAGAGTGACTGAGATACCTGAAGTTGCGAATTGGTTCCTTCTTAGTCCCCTCCCTTCTGAACCCGCTCATCCTCCTTTTCCGTGTTTGACACTCCTTTATTATCAGGGCTCACACTTCTCAGCCTGTGTGATGCCTCTCTTAATGTATCTATTCATTAGCACTAAACAGTTACTGCCTGCTCACTAATTCCTCCGTAATTAGAGGTTCTGAATTCTTTTGCTTACACTCAGCACAGCCTGGCAGCCTTGATGTACCTCATTAGCAACTGGTAACAGAAGCTCTAGATGCAGAGATAGAAGAGCGAGCTGGGAAGAGGGGCATGGGAGAAAGGAGGGTGCTGGTGTGGGAGAGAGGACAGAAGGGGGAGGGGAGAGGATGATTCATGGGAATTAAGGACCCCAGCCTCCCCTGCTTGAATCGCTCAGTGCTTGGCCTGTCTGGCTCTAGAAGAAGAGGCTCCAGCTGGGCTCAAACTTAGCTTTGCTAGAAAGCTGAGAAGTGGGCAAAGTTTGCAATGGGCCATTCACTTCCTCCCAGAGGAGCAAGACGATGTCTTCCTGCCCAGGAGATGTGGCTCCTACCTGTTGTCTCTGCAGCAGAGGCCAGGCCTCCTCGCTTTGGCCCTACTCAGGAAAGCACCAGCCCATTATTGTGACCTCCAAAAACTTGGCAGTCCAAAGGGGGGATCTGGCAGGGATTGCTTGTAGACACAGTACTCGTGTGTGGCTTTTGTGCCAGTTCAGTGTGGGCACACCTCTACACCCGATTGTCAGGGAACTAGCCCAGACTGCACCCGTTGGGGTGGACACTTGCAGTGATCTTAGCTGAACAGCTCATGGGAGCCAGCGTTCTCCGAATGGCACCGGTGGGAAGCAATGACATTACAGGGCCAGGGCATAAGGTAGGGATAAGCCCCAGAACAGGAAAGGAGGCATCCAAGCAGGCTTTGCAGGGGGAAATTCCTGTTCTCAGGAAAGCAGAAGGATGTGGGAGGAGAACAGCTCTGCTCTGTGCCTTCCCTTGGATGAGGACGCAGCATGCTGAGCTAGTGCCTCGCGTACGGCGAGATTAGAAGAACCCCTGAACGTGGACAGGAGAGCCGTGTTTCTTGCGCAGAGGTGCGTTTGCCCTCTGGGCAGATGTCTGGAGAGGAGAGGAGAAGGAACGGGAAAGCAGCAGAAGAGGCACAGGACTTATACATGGAAGCAAAGGAAGAAAAATAATAAATGGATAAGCCAACAAACACCTGGGAAAACTAGGATACCTTTTAGGTTGCTGGAGAAGTTACAGCATAGTTGTAGTGACATCAAGTGCTACCTTTTTATTACCTATAGCATGGACTCACAAGGCTACCAGCAGGTGTAACACCCGGGGGGATGTGTCGCTGATGAAGCTGGAGAATAGTGCTATCAGTCCATAGGTAGGGGCGTATCAAGTGGAGGACCCCGAGATTTTCTCCATCCAGTCCTGCATAGCATGGAGAAAAGTCCAACCTCTTCTATAGCACGGTGACTCCTGCGTCCAGCCCAGAATTTCTCAGTGAGCTAAAGCAGGTGTTTGAGAGAGAGGGGCTTTATCCTTTGCTAATCCTTTCCAAAGGTTAATTATCCTCATTGTTAAATGTGTTCATCATGTTTCTAGTCTGATTAATCCAGCTTCCATTTCTTGCCCTTGAATTTTGTTCGGTCTGCCTGCCCGTAGTTTGTGATCAGCTCGTGCCCTAACTTCCCAAGGAGAAGGTTAAATAAGCTGAGTTCCTTTAGCCTCTCTCAGCATAAGACTGGTTTTTCAGATGGTGAAGCGCTCTTGCCGCTCTTTCCTGAAGGTTTTCTGTTTTTCTCTTTCCCATTTTTTCAACATTGTTTTTTGGGGCTTGAACGTCGCAACAAACAGGTCTCAGCAACGGTCTCTCGGCGGAGAGGTAATCCCACCGCCCTTCCTCTACTCAATATTCCCCTCTATACATCCAGGAGCTTAGCCACCGTAGCCGAAGGATCGCCCTGGAAGCTCACGTTCTGCTCATTTCCCCCTAACAGGTCCTGGGACGCGGTCCCCCGCTCTAGAAGCATGACCTACATTTTTTGCTCCTAAATGTATGATCTTGCATTTGGCTGCATTGAAGTCTCCATTGTTCAAACGCGCCCAGCTTACCACGCAGTACAGATCGCTCTGTGCGACTGTCTTGTCTTCATTGTTGTTTTTCACTTCACCAGTTCTTGGCTCATCTGCCAGTTTTGCCTGCAATTATTTTATATTTCCTTCCAGATCATTGATTAAGCTATTGAGTGGAACGGGGCCAGAAACAGATCCCCAAAGTATGCCATACTAAGTATAAACGATGAGTGCCCATTTACAAATGTTTTTTAAGATCTGCCCCCTACCTCTTTTTGATTTACCTTGTAGGCGTTGCATTGTGAACATGGCATGGTGCGAGTCAGAGGTCTTAAAGAAGTCTAAATAGCCTGTCAGCTTAGTGACCTGTATTAATAAAAATTGTAATCTTATTGAGGCAATTTGACACTGTTAATTCAATTGTGATGTTTGACACATGGACCCATTTCAGTTCTTTACTGACTGCATCCTCGATCAGCCTTCCCAGGATTTTTTGCAGATTTATAGTTGCCCCCTTGAAATATTGCTGCAACATCGGCTTCTTTCCAGTCCCCTCAAACTCCCCCTAGACAAATGCGACTCCCACATCCAAATCCAACAAGTGCCAAAGAGAGAGGTCCAAGAAAGAGACCCTGAGAAGATGCAGCACCTCTCTTCTCCGAAGATGAAGTTAATTCTAAAGAGAGAGATTTTTGCCTGCTTCACGTGAACAGAAGAGGTGTATGAAGAGACAGGCAGGAGAAGAGCTGAACGCCGTGTCGTCGTTGCAGGAAGGAAGAAGTAGAAGAGGATGAGGAGCTGGTAGGTGAGAGCAGTGCAGTGCAGAGATCCTAGGAGCTGCCCAGATGCCACGAAGCACACGGCGGTGCTAGGAAGGACGAGTGGTGTCCTGGGGCCACCTGCCTTTGTGGGCATCACAGTTTCCTCTTGCTGGAAGCTCCTGCCTGGAAGCAAATTCTGCAACCCGTGGTTTTGGTGGGAATGTTATGCTCGAAGGATTTTGTGATATTGATAGAAGATATCGAGGGGCGTCTTGTTTAACCCCCAGCACAGGATCGATCCCCTGTCTTCAAACTAGGCCAGATCCAGCCTTTTCCAAAGGACATGCCACAGCTCGCTCCATTGCCCTTCTGCTCTTACACTTAGGAAGGTTTCCTGAGACTTAATCTAAATCTGCTTTTCTGCCTTTGAAAACCTGCAACCAAATGTCCTGCCCCCTGCAGCAAGGGAGAACAGGTTGTTGCCGTCCTCTTTATGGCAGGTATTCGCATATTTAAAAATTGGCTACGCTGCCGTTCCCCTACCGCCATCTCTTTCCATCCAGACTAAGCGCACCCAGTTTCTTCAATGTGTCCTCGCA